CCGGCCCGCTGCGGCCCCGGCACGTGCGCGCCCTCGAGGCACCGCGCAGCGGCACCGGGCCCCGTCGCGCGCCCCCCAAGGGTGTCACTGTTGGCAGGGACAGCGGCTGTGCATGGTCGTGGCCCCTCGAGACTGGCACTGGGGACAGGGACAGTGGCCACACTGTGTCTCAACCCCTTTAGGGTGTTACTGGCAACAGGGACAGTGGCCATGCCTGCTCTTGGCCCCCTGAGGGTGTCACTGGGGACAGGGACAGCGGCTGTGGCTGCTTGTGGCCCTTCTGGTGTCAGGGATGGGGACAGCGACTGTGCCTGGTGTGGCTCCTTGAGGGTGGCATTGACTACAGGGACAGTGGGCATGTCCAGCCTCGGCTCCTTGAGGGTGGCATCAGGGACAGCAGCCATGCCTGCTCTTGGCTCCTCAAAGGTGGCATTGGGCACAGGGACAGGCCCCTCAAGGGTGGCATTGGGGACAGGGACAGGCCCCTCAAGGGTGGTGTTGGGCACAGGGACAGCAGCTATACCTAGTCTCAACCCCTCAAAGTTGATGTTGGGGATGGGGACAGCAGTGGAACTCAAGCCCTCGAGAGTGTCACTGGGCACAAGGAGAGTGTCTGTACCCAGTCTCATCTCCAGAGTGTCACTGGGGACGGGGACAGCAGCCCCAGCTGTGCTCAGGGTGTCACTGAGGACCGCAGGGACGGCCGTGGTGCCGGCCATGGCCTGGCGCTTCCAGCCGTGCGGCCTGAAGGGATCGCTGCTCCACGGCTGCTTTTGTCCGGATGAACGTGGCCAAAACGGTCACCCTCGTTGCTTCACTGGTTTATCGGGGAGTTGGGCACGTTGTGTCTTCCTGCCCTGAAAAATCAACCAAAGCTGTCACTAGAAAAAAAGCCTAGGGGTGTCCGGAAAATGGAGATACTAAGATGTTATTGCTATCAAATGTTGAGTTTTAGCTTTTTGAACTGCTTTGACACCTAGGCAGTGCTAAAGTTGGCTGCATTACTGAAATACATGTCGTGCTGCAGCAATGATATATGAGACATATGGCCAAAGTCTGACACCGCGGTTCTCTCTCCTCATTTTGGCTTGGATGTAGGGTATTGACTTGTTCTGCGCCACACATTTATTTTCTTACCCTGGTCAGTGCTTTGTTTTGACAGTTTTAGGCATGTTTGAAAAATCAGTGTAAGAAAAGGACAAAGTCTGTGCGCTCTAATCTGTAGTTTCCTGGTTTAAGGTTGTGAGTGATTACAAGGTTCTTTTTGTTCTGGATAGTGGCATTTAACAGGTATTTACGCACTGCTAGGTTGTTTCCAGCCAGTACTTTGTTTTCAATAGGGACGACTGTCAGATTCTTTGCAAGGTGCTATTGAGAAAACGTTGCAGCCAGCGGTCATTGAAACACTACCCCAAGTTCGGAGAATAAAGGACTCCCAGTATAGAAAATGTGGATAAGTAATTTCTGTCTTGAAGTTCTCATATATTATTACACAATTTGTAAGTGATCTAATTTTATGTGATGATCTAACTTTCCACTTGGTTAAATAAAATTTGGGTCCAAGAATACTCTGAAGCCACGAATTCATGACCCACATATGTGTTATAAAGACTTCTTTTATTTTTTTTCTTTGTTTTTTAATTCAGGATTTCTTGCCTTTATATATAATTGGTTTGACCAAAATCTTTCCTTTTTTTCCGAGGCATCGCTCCCTGTGATATAACCCTAGTATTCTGACAGAGGATAAGAAGAAGGCCTAGCCGAACTTCTCTACATGTGGTTTGTTGATACTGTTCCTTCTTTATCAATTGATTACCTCTCTGAACAACAATCTTAAGTGTCTTAAGCATCACTGCCTTGCCCAGAGGTAATATATTTGTTGCCCCTATCTTAACTCAATTTCTACTGAAGATCTGAGGTGATGAGAATTGAAGGCTATTACAGGTGAAGATCCATGATTACTTGTATCATCATATTCTAATACTTTTATATTATGATTTCTCATTTAATCCAACATAAACTTTTTTCTTCTTTTTTTGGTCAGCATTCTAATGTTGGTCAGATAACTTTATGAAACTCTTCACAATGACAAGTAGGTGTTTCCTGAGTAGTTCATCTGGAATACAGCAGTCCATATGATTAGCTAATAATTTTTAATGACTTTATGCCATTCTCATGTTCTTATGTGTCACTGACAACAAATTTCTACTAACTCAAGAACATTCGTTCTGTGTTCTGGGTCTTAGGCTCCTAACGGCAATTTAGAAAATAAATCCATTGTTTTTCCCTTTTTTTAAGACAGGACTTTTAGGCATCATCAGTGTTCAGTTACTTTCTTTTTACTTTGGCATTGGAACTAGGACTCAATAAATACCTCATTAAGAATTTTACTAATTTACATATTGATGTAAAATTCTATTCTCTTTCCTGCTTTATTTTGTTGTTTTAAACATCCATGGTGTGTTTTACCTTGTTCTCTATTTCCCTGAGTGTTCACTATGTCTATGGAGTCTTTTTTAGATTTGCTGCTTTTCAAAGCAGTGTTGCTCCGTGTGTGAGCATGTAAATAATACTCTTTATTCCATGTGTGTGGAATATGTGTTACACTAGGCAGTAGGCAAGCATGCTCCTTCCACGAGTTAGGTGTAATGTATACTGTACATGATGGGAGCAGGGTTGATTTATTCTTAGTTATTTATCCCACCCGTCAGTTCTTGTGTTCTCTGCAGAGAGTTGGAACTACAGTTTTTATACATAAACTTCGCTTTGCTGGCAAAGGCCCTAAGTAGCATTGGGCTGTCCTTAAGAACTAGTATTCAGAAGTCAGCTGAGAGTCATGCAATAGGAATAAGAGATTTCTTTGTCTTATAACACCTTTCTCCCCACCAGCTCTTTTGGGATAAGTACCTGTGTGTTCGGGCTTTCAACCAAGTAAAATGTGAAGTAATTTTCCCTCTTGCCTCAAACTCCCTTGTGGATGCCATATGGTAAAATCTGGAAACAGCTTATACATAATAATTTATTACACACCTGTCCTTGTCAAAAGTGTGAAGTGATGCTCTGTAATGTTCCCAGGTGGCTCTGGGTACAAGAAGTATAAACTAGGTACGTGTAGTCCTGCAAGATGCTCCATGTGTGTGCAACTGGTTCAGATTTTTCATCAGTACCCTTTTTTGTTTACTGGGAAGTGGCTTTTGAGTATCCTGGATTTTTATAATGAGATGTTCCAATATTGATTTCTTTCATGGAAAAAAAAATCTGTGAAATAGTTTTTGAAGTTAAATTAACTTTATGCCTTCTCTTCTTTTCTTTAACTGTATACACATATCTTTATTTTTTTTTCAAATGAGGAAAAAGTTAAAGGGGAAGATGCTTTTTATTGTTTCAAAGCTATAACATGCTAAGATTTTGAGAGCTAAGAAAACAACTTTAACTATTGATGAGGTGGATTTAAAATATTTTTCCTAAGCCACCCTAATAATTTATGAGGTGGTTTTAGATTCCAGGTTTTCTTCGTGTTGAATAACTTCTAAATCAGACTGTTGCGTGGCCCTAAATCTTGCACAGATCTAAGTATAGCAGGTCACAAACTACAAGGTATTTTTATCCAGCCCAACCTATATTCTTGTCAGAAAACCATATCATGTTTTTTTAGTGAGACCTATTTTCTAAAAACCTCTGTTAAGCATTACTTTTTATCACCATCTGTTATTTCTTTGTTGATTGTTTTCCTTCGTTTTGCCCACGGTTGATGTCAGACTAAGCCAGCGGTGTTTCCCCATTTCAAGTGATATTAAAGTTGTCTCCTTAGCCTCAGCATTTGCCAGAAACCAGCCTCAGTGTTTCAAGAGCTTGTCCATCAGTTCCACTAAAATTGTTAGGCACGGGCTGCCTAGCTCTGCAGATTTGAAAGGCCTTGCTTTGGGCAGATATAACTGAAATTGGGAGAAAAAGTAGTAGGTATTTTTTTAAAAAAACACATAGTAACACTGTGGTTCTTAGTCTTGTAAAAAGCTTTCCTAACATGGACCCTTGTGTTTCTGCCGAGCTAGCACATTTTCGAAGAATTAGAACATAACAGGAGAAGGGAGAGTGAAAATACCATCTCTGGCTGTAGCGACCATAATAATAGTTTAAAAAACCTCACACTTTATTATCCAAACAGCAATCAATTTTGCTGGCTACTGCTTATGTTGCCAAGACTGATTACATGTATCCTTAGCACCGTACTTCACAAACAAGTCTTCTCCCAGATAATGATGTAACCACAAGTTGTGGACTACAGAATTGTTTTTTATTTCTTATTTTTCAATTCGTTACTGAAAGGTGGTGTAAAATACTCTCCTTTTTTGTAAAAGATAAGTCCTGGAAGTGTTCTCCTTTGTTTTTGTTAGAAAGATACTTCATTACTACTACTTCTTTTCTCATGAAGACTTATTCAGGGAAACAAAAGTTTATTTTAGTAGGTTTTTGAAAAAATAATGCTGTATGGTCATTTTAAGTAATGTTTTCTCAAGGAAGGATTCTGTCTCTTGATTAATCTGATTTATATTGATGGCATTTGGATATTGCCCTTTGGCAGGTATCTTCATGGGAATTATGTAACAGCTTTCCACATATTTTATCTGGATACTGCTGAATACTTATGGCACTTGAAAATCAATTATTATGTATTTTAAGATGATCCGTCACTACTTCAGCTTGTCAGGCTAAAGTTGGAATTCTCTGAGGCTGGAAATGGAGGTGCTGAGGGTTTGGGCTCGCAGCCGAGGGAAGCGCTCGGCTAGCGGCAGCCTCCCTCGCTTGCACCTCACAACGTGCTTTCATTGAGCTCGTGGGAGAACCACGAGTTGGAAATGGTGCCCTGCTTTGCCACCCCTGTTTTGGGTACCTTTGCAGGCTCCTGCTTGGTGGGGAAGTCGAGGTGTTGTCGCAGATGTCTGCTGAAACGCAGTGTCTGAGGCTGCTGTGAGAGATCCTGGGCAGGTTTCTGCTTACACCACAGCCTGCCTGGCCATAGGGGATCCCATTCTGTGCCTGCGGTGCACGATTCAAAACAACTAGCAGCTGATTTTAGGAAAACACATCATTCTACGTGTATTTTGTCAGGAAGCAGTCATTTTGGTGGGCAGGATTAGTCAGTTGATCCAGCAGCCCATTAGTTAGTTGGCAGGATATCTTTAGTGTGACCTGCTTGCTTTTGCTCTGTTTTTTTTATATATAAAGATGTATTTTTCCTTTCCTAATTTGCCAGGTCATGGATTTGGTAGCATTTATGCTGCGTGCTGAAGAGCATTAGCAGCATCCCAGTATTTTCAGAGGAAGAGGTGGGCGCCGAATGAGCTTTTAGAACGCTGACCAAGAAGAAGAATTTATCTTTGCTGGCATTGAGCCACACGGTAAATGTTTGTGCTTAACTGTGGCTTGAAGCGTTGGATGAGCAACAAGAGAGCTGTGAATATCATATTGAATAAGCTGATATTTAAATAAATAACTGCCAGGGCTACTGGGGAGATTTTGCAAAAGGATTAGGGGGGAAACCAGGCATTTCCTCCCCTGGAAAGCAGCTCGTGCCTGTCTTCAGGGTGGCGTTGGGCTGGTCACGTGCGCAGATTCTTTGACTGCGTTTGAGAAAGCTGAATCAGAGCGATTGCGCAGCGCCTGAGTCAGCCTTTCAGAGTTTCGTAGAAGCTGATTTCTTTCTGTTGTTTGTCGGTGT